ATGACATGACATGACATCTCAATGTATGCAAACCTTTGGAGGCGGAGATCAGATAAAAGCCGTTGTCTGTGATGGGACTGAACTGGAGGTGAACGACGGGTCGGGTGTGTCCGCTACACGTCAGGGGCGTCTGCTTTAGGGTTGCCATCACTCACACAATGCACGGCTCGATCGCTAGGATAAGGAACGGCTAGTTTTGTGACCACAAACCGCACTCAAGACGCCAACAGATGTGAAGACAATGCTTATAGAGATAGAGATGTTGTCATACAGTATATCGTGTTTATCTCGTGATAGCATAGAAACCGGCATTCATTGCATTCAACGCTATCTATCGGACGATCCTATAAAACAACAAATTCTTGTACAGAATATAAATATTCTGGATTCTGCATAAATATATATATTGTTGTCCAGAATCTAACTATCGATTACTGTTATAAATACTGTTTAATTCATTCAATACCACCTGTGGTTATATTGTATGCCACATACTTACTATAGTCAAGTAATAAAATCTTCGTTTTATTTAAATACTTTTAATTTATAATTATATAAAAATTTGATGTTATATCACATAATTTATAAATTATATAAAATTTACATACATTTTATATTAATTGAATATTAAATAAAATAGGAAAATAAAAATCTATTGTCTATATGTATGTTAGGATCTATTGTCTATTTTAAACAACAGATCCAATAGAATGGGATTTGATGAATGGCTGGCCTTTTGTCTTAAGTATTTAATCGCAATTTCCTATAAAAAAAATTAAAAAGAAATGATAGACAAGAGTTGTTATAAAAGAAATGAATGACTGACTGAGCGCTTAATATCAGGCGAAGAGTTCTTTTTAGACAATTGCCACAAATTGATAAGAAGTTTATGCATTTTCTTGACGTCTCCGTGAGATATAATCCGACAGAACAGCTCCAAAGCCACCGACGACTGCCTTTTGTATTGCTTTTAAAAAGAAATAAGTTGCAAAATATTGTGTGAAAAAGAGTTGTTTCAATAATTACTCCTTCATCAGAGAGTTGTTGCAAATATTCGAGAATATCGTTGAGAACGGTTCCACTCAAAGAACTTATCTGTTCCATAAATTGACTTTCATTTCCATATAACGTATCGTTTGAGTCGACTATTCGATCAAATATTCATTATAAACAACAAACTATTTAATAAATTAATATTTTCGCTAACCTTTGCTTATGTGATAGGGATATGACTCCTGAGAGGCAGTCGAGAGATAATTCAAGCAATTTATTAAAATAAATACTTTTGTGTCAGAATTTCCCTCAAATTTTCTCTCATTTATCACATTTACTAATCCTTTAAACAGATATAGAGGTTCGGGTCCGTCCGGGTTGTCCTATCAATAAAAGTACAATTGCTGTCACTTCAAGTATAACAGCATTAAATTTGATAATCAATACATACGGGAACTATCAATAGGAATGACAGCAATTGGGAGATGTATGACAAGAGAAATGGATCCGTAGATTTGGGCCGACCATCACTCGAGTCAATATATTGTGGTAACTGTTGAATCAATGTTATGGCTGTTTTGAGAAATGAGTCCGTTTGGGGCAAACATCCATTGATTAAAGAGACATAACTACTCGATAAGTAGAGCTGAAGGCGAAGTATCACGTCGTCGAGTGAGGGAATGGTAATGAAAGAGTAGGCAATACATGCCCTCACAAATGAGTTGGTTTTCTTGGTGTGGAATCCCTTCACAATACGTCTCGTTTCCATCG